GAACGCTCAGCCCCAGGTAGCCATGCAGCAGGTAAGGTCCTTTTGGGGGTATCAGCTTGTTCACCAAGATTCACTAGTAACTAAAATGCTGCTTGTATGAATTTTAAGGTTTTACTTAGTCATTTGTTTTCTCTGCAGCCTGCTGTCCACGTCCAAGGCCAGGAGCCACTGACTGCCTCTATGCTGGCTTCTGCTCCCCCCCAGGAACAGAAGCAAATGCTGGGTAAGTTTGTCCCACCTTGTACTCAGTCAACCTTGGTCCTCTTTCACCCCACTTTCGGACCTGGGTGTTTGACACGATTGGTCCTCCTCTGTAGGGGAGCGCCTCTTCCCACTTATCCAGAGCATGCACCCCAGCCTGGCGGGCAAGATCACTGGCATGCTGCTGGAGTTAGACAACTCAGAGCTACTCCACATGCTCGAGTCCCCAGAGTCGCTACGTTCCAAGGTCAGCATTCTGGCTTCCACCCTCCTCCGTGTAAAGATAAGCACTGCATGTGCTAAATGTTTCTGCCACCAGATGTTTCATATTTGGTGTCCAGTCTGACTGCAGTTGTCTGCTTTAGGTGGATGAAGCGGTTGCTGTGCTGCAGGCTCACCAGGCCAAGGAAGCTGCTCAGAAATCGGTGACCAACTCAGCCAGTGTGCCGAGCGTCTAGGCAGAGGTGAGCCCGCTGAAGCAGAAATTGATTCCTCCAGTAAAGCAGTTATTTTATTACCCAGATGGGGAATACACATGCATCTGGGACCAGTCCTTTGCCACCGCTGCAGACACTTCTTAACAGGATAACTTGAAATGCATCTGACAAATCTTTTTCAAACTTCGCAGATGCATTGGATCGGTGTAGATCTGGAACTGATCAAATTTTGAAGCAAATCACAGAAACTGAAGCAACAAAAGGAAGAGTGACCTCAGAAGACATCTTATGTTGTGAACGTGATGACTCAAAAATAATTTGATGGACCTTATTACCATTTCACAAAAACATTATATAGATTAAGTGCTACACCTGATTACCTTTTAAGACAAATTGCACCAATTTTTAGGCAGCACCACTGGGTAGCAGGGAAGGAAGGAAAAGGAGGCTGCAGAAGACACTTGATCTTGTGGACACAATAACTCTAAAAGTAGTTGATGAATCTTTATCTGACTTCCCAGGGATATTGTATGGGTGATCTAGATGGGAGCTATTTAATTTTGAGAAAAATCACAGCAAAACCGAAGCAGTTTCAATTTGTGGTTGCACATACAAGACACATGCAGATCTGGTGAACCTGATTACATTGAGACAAGTTACATAAAGTTGGGATGAAATGGGAGAGGGAGTGACGGGCTGTTCGGGGAATACATTTTTGTAGCATCAAGGTGTATTTCTCCCAGTTTTTGACTCAGGTTGTGCCTTCCACATATCCTGGTAATGCTAAATGTTACGTACCTCTAATTTAAATTTTCTGCTTTATATTCATTCTAGTGACGCTACTGTGTTTAATTGCTAAAATGTAAAACCCAATTCCCTGAATGAAATGCTTAGTGACCTGAACCCATTTATCAAATCACTCTTTTGCAGAATTCTGAACTCATTGTAACTCACTAAATTATGTCTTGCACTGTGATGCACTTGTGATGCAAAATAGTAAACAGCGGCCAGAAAAATTAAATACAGCCAACATGCACTAGTCATCGTTTAAATACAATGACTCAACATTGGTCACATGTTACTAAACATGTGAAGAAGCCAACAAGTGAATAGAACAGAGAATAGGTGCTGTATGATTGTGCAAGTGCTGTAGGTGAGTTGAATTTCTTTGACGAGGTATGGTTAGGTCACAACAGAGGATTCTTCCTCTGTTGCCTAGCAACGGGAAACATTGTCTATGGTGTTGGCAAAGTTCTCTGTCCTGATCCAGCCCTGAGACAAAATGTGGCAGAATTAATTTTTTCCTTAACTTTTTGGCTTGGCAGATGTATACAATTTTATCACAATGTGCCTTTCATTTTGCGTGCTGAATGCTACAACCTTTCGAAATTGCTAAAGCACATTTCCTGAAACCACTCCTTTCTCAAAACGTCAAACGCAAAGCCCAATTTTCACACTACATTCACAAAACAAACCTTTGGCTCATCCTGCAAAATCAGTCACCTCAAAACCAGATTCTGTTCTCAAAATCAAGCACTACTTTCGGGACATACACACAGCCAGTCAAAATAAAACACTACCCATTACACACTATATCATTAAACACGAGCAGATGTCTGAGATACACAAAGAGCATGGCCTGTTTGAGTACAGCTGGGACAGTTGCTTCCCCTCACCGATTCCGGGATTATCTGGGGTACTGAAACCATTAGTAGTCAGTATATTGCTTTGGCTTGCAGTGTTGCTGCTAATCATATTGCTGTTTTAAGTGTTGCTCTAGTATTCTGACTCCCCAGGCAAAGTCTGTTATGTTGCTGCAGGCTTCCCCTGCCCCACAAGTGGATGATCCTCCCATCCCTGCTTGGCTCTTTGAACCACAACCCCAGGTTGTCATCAATGTGACACGTGTTCTATCCAACCACCGCTGGTCCGCTTCACCTCGTTGCATTATCATCCTGAGGACTACGCCGATGTGGACTCTGATTATCTGTGAACAAAGCGGGTCTCGTGTGTACAAAAGGGGGGAGTTTAGTTCTTTCCCTGTTCCACCACAAATGATTCAACTCAAGAGCTGTGTGGTAATTAGCAGAAGGAGTTGAATCAGGTGTGTTAAATGAGGGGAAACCCAAAAATGCGTAGGGCTCCGGCCCCCCAGGACTGGAGTTTGACACCCCTGTCGTAGGCCTTAGGCAAGACGAGATTGATTTGAATACCGTGTGTCCTCGTCTGACGGTAGCCGGCACGCGGTCAGTTTCGCAGGCCCTGAAGACCTCGGAGAGACAGGCAGCAGAGAGGGGGGGGGGGAGAGAAGCCATCTGCAGGAAGGGATTCAAAGCTGCCCTAACTGGTGCACACAGAGTTGTAGCTTTAAAGTAGTCGCAATATGTCATACACAATACGCAGTAGTACAAATGTATAAGTAGTTGTCACATTAATCATGTGTTAACCATGTATTTACAGCAAATCAATATTCATATCAATATCTCAAGTAGAAGTCTAGCAGTCAAGACATGTTTTGGGAAATTAAGCGAAATGGGTGGATGGACCGTGATACCAAGGTGAACCAATAGAGGAGGAGAATTATGTTTGTCATACGTTTGAGCTTGGTTTGTTGGTGTTTTGTGACCAATCAGGACGTAGAAGTCCTTATAGGGAATTGGGTGTTATGGTTTATTAATTGTTTGCTCTTTGTGATCGGGGCACCTGGTGCCAGAGTGTGATGGAGCACTTTGCTGGGTTGCATGAATAAAAGAGAAAACGTTGCTCACCAACTGAGAGGTCTGGGGTTTTATTCTAAGTGGCTTAACTGGAGTTATTAGAGAGGTTGATTTATATTTTTTCTTCCACAGAAAACATTGTTCAGGGCATGTAGCTCCAGAAAAAAAGATGTTTATTGTGCATATATGGCAAAGACATTTTGTATTTTCCAAAAAATTCCAAAATATATGCAGAACATAGAACAAACTTTAGATATTGTATACTGTAAGTACAGCAAGCAATACAGTATAATGTGGTATTCAGCAGCAAAAACACAATACTGCAACAGGACAAAGAGAAAAACACATTACAGTAACATTTACTGTAAAATATGTCGACGGGTGGGTCATTCGGCCTGAGCATCGCGTCCCGGTGCTGGGTCAGGCCAGAGGACTTCACAGTCAGAGTTCTACCTAACCAGGTAACAGGGGAAGAACCATCTGGTGTGGAAGAACCATCTGGTGTGAAAGAACCATCTAGTGTGTCAAATCCAGCCTTGACAAGACTCCACATCTGTGTCACCACTGGCTATAACTAAATTTTATTTAGGAACTACAAGGAACAGGTAAGCCCCCCCCCAACCTGGAAATGTAAAAGGTAAATGGGTTACCGGAATGCTCTTACCTGAACCCTAGTCATGACTAGGATTTATCTGAAAGTAACGCTATTCATTTATTGCATATTCCACTTACATGCCAGTCTGCACAATATTTCCCCGATTTTAGTTGGCAGGTGGCTGTGGGCGCAAGGCGGTGGCTGCAACGTCTGTTTTCGGCACGCGATCCTCACCAGGATATAGTAAATGAGGATGCTGCTGATGATTAGTGACGTAGCTATGTTTTATTCCGCATTCGGTCTCGTCTGTACAGACGTCTCCCTTTGCTTCACGTTTTGCAAAAAAATGGCAATGGAGCGGTATGTAATGTATTTTTACCCTGTTAGCCTAATTGAGATTGTTGAATAAAACTATTATAGGCTTTATATTGCTGCTTTTTTTGTATGTGATGTATTTTTACCCTATTAGCCTAATTGAGATTGTTGAATAAAATAATAATAATATTGCCTTTTATGTTGATTAATTTGTATTTTTGACAATATTGCTGATCTTGCCTGATTTTGTTCGCCCTGTAAGTTTCATCCAGGCACTCCGATACTTTCAGTTTCCTTTCTCTGTAAATAGCCTACATAAAACTCGTTCCACCCGTCCGTTTTATGATTCCACACGGTCCTTTCTCTGTGAAAATGACGTTTCTACGAAAATAACGTCTGTAAAACGTACTTTTTAATTTTTTGACACAACAGATCTTACCTCTCGGGTAAGTGAAATAAATCAGAATATTGCCATAAAAAATATTTATTCTATTTTAACTCATATTTTGACGTTTGACGTTCGTTGAATGCTATGTTGCTCTATTCAATAAGTGTATTGGACGTATTTAATAATATTTAAAGATTATAGGTAGGCTAAATATTGTAAGTTATAAATGTATTAAATGTTAATAAAACTGTTCGTTCCAGTTTCCTCCTACAGTTCGAAGTATTCCAGTTTCGTGGAGTAGAGGCAGTCCCAGGGTTAAGAACGTCCGATTTACAGACAATTCGTACTTACAAAAATGTTAATTATATTAAAAAGTCGGTTTAAATACAATGGTTCGTCATAGGGCTGCCGCGATTAGTCGACGCAGTCGATGATGTCGACGCTGAAAATCCGTCTACATCAATATATTTTTACTATTGTAATGAAATTACGTTTATGATTTCTAAAGCGCTTCGATTCATAATAACAATTGTTTTCCTTTAGTATCACTACGTAACCATGGGAGTAATACAAATGATCACTAAAGAAAAAGGTGGGTGTGCACTATGCAAAGCTTCGATAGCATACCACAGCGCTATGCACGAGCAGCTGAAGAGAAAACATACACTATTTTGGACTATGGATCATCTGAGTAGGCAAAGTGCTGTCTATTCCTGTTTATTAAATTAGCATTACTATGGAAAGCTTTAAATATCTTTGTCCTTGTAGTTGCCAAATACTCTCATTATTAAATCCAAAAAGATGTTCAGCTGGGGTGGCGCAGTGGTGCAGTGGTTAGCACTGTTTCCTCGCACCTCTCCAGGTATGTGGAGTTTGCATGTTCCCCCCGTGTCGCTGTGGGGTTTCCTCCGAGTACTTCGGTTTCCCCCCCGCAATCCAAGAACATGCTAAGGCTCACTGGAGTTACCAGATTGCCCGTAGTGTGTGAATGGCGTGTGAGTGTGCCCTGCGACGGGTAGGCGCCCCATCCTGGGTTGTTCCCTGCCTTGCGCTTGTAGCCTCTGGGATAGTCTCTGGACCCCCTGCAACCCTGAAAAGGACAAAAGGTTACAGAAAATGGATAGATGTTTAGGTAATCATATTACCGTGCTGGCATTGATAGAACCTTTGTTAGAATATAAAATGTGGAAATAACATTCCATTAACTTTACAGTAAGAGTTCTCTGCCAAATTTGAGAAAACCTTCATATAATGTTGGCTATAATTCTGGGAATGTTCCTTGTTAACTTTTTGATAACCAATGATCGTGAAAATTTACCTAGGATGAGGGCAAAAAGTACCGATTGGCCACGCCTCCCTGTCTGGGCACCCGCACCTGGAAAAGTCTGTCCACATCACTGGCGTTGATGGCTGGTATTCTGTGAGGCTACTTAATCTGGATGGATCTGTATCAAATTACAAATGTCACCTCTCAGTTAATTTCTGTTTTTTTTAATCAAATCTGTATGACCCAGTATGAAAGGGGCCATCTGTAACACTTTCTATCATTTGCTACTATATTCAACATGGAGCTATTGTAACATTTGTGTTCTGGTCCTTCAGGCTGTTGATGAGATGAACGGGAAGGAACTGAATGGCAAGCAGGTTTATGTGGGGCGTGCCCAGAAAAAATCTGAGCGCCAGACAGAACTGAAGCGCAAGTTCGAGCAGATGAAGCAGGACAGGATGACTCGATACCAGGTTTGTGTCCAAAGACACAGTTGCTGTTGCATGTGTTTA